AATCAGCAGCAGAGTGTCCAGTAGCTCGTTTCTGTAACAATTCTCTACTAAGGCGAATTGAGATATGTTCTCTACTGCTAATGAGTAGTATAGAATGATGTATATTCTCTACTAGTAGAGAAATAATCGGTAGAGAAAAGTTACAGAAACGAGCTACAGATTGGCCGATTTAGAGCCAATTTAGCGATTTTCTTTGGATATTTGCGCGTAAACATTTTGGAAATCGCCTTTGGTGATTTTTCCCTTCAATTCAATTTTTTGTGCGCTATCATGTAATTGTGTCGAAACACGTGATAAGTGGGCCTACGCACAATAGCCTGCTCAGTCGGACTGAGCAGTCCACCACTCGAGCGCACACTGGACTGTGCAGTTGGCCGAAAACAAGTTTCAGTTTGGTATACCTGAACTACGCTTGATTATGTTAGTGCATTTGGCTCATGCAAACAAAAATACAGAGGTACGAAACATGTTGTCTATGTTTGCGTGTCAGTCCACAGTCAATCCGCGATTTTCGCGGACTAAAATTAACGAGGTAAACTCTAACTCTCTGCCCCCCCTTATCCACACAAAACCGGTTTTAGGCGGACTAAGCAGTCCAATGTGCGGAGGCCCAGTAAGTTATAGAGTTAAAGCTTAAATATTGATGTGGCATCACTTATTGTTATCGATTTGTTGCAGCATATCATGAACGAACGACGCAGAGCACATAACTTAGGGTTTACACCGGACAATATTGTCAAGACAATTATGTCAAAATGATGTGTTTGTTGTAATATGAATCACCGTGTTTACTAAATAAGAACAAGCATGATAAAAACATAGTAAGGTAAAACCGTTCTGTCAATTCGTCGGCCATGATTTTTTTTTTTAAATTTGCCAACATTTTAAAATCATGTAAAATTTAAAGTAAAAAAAGGAATTGTTCAAAGTTGTTGTTGTTTGAGATTGAAAATGAGAATTTGTGCGTAAAATTTTAAAATTAAATTGCTCGCAAACGTCAAGAAGGCAGGTTCGACTGATGTCACGTTACGGATTACCTGGGTCTGTAGTAGTAGTTGTTGGCGGCGGCGTGTGGGTCGGTTGTGGTTGTGGTGTACTCTATTGTGTTGTGGTGTTTGCGTTGAACAGCTCAGGTAAATGTCGTGCCTTCTCTTTTTCGCTAGTACGTTTTCATCAAAATTCCACACTTTTTATTCTGAATAAATTTTAATTTTGATGTAAGTTAGATTTTCTTTTAATTTTTGTACAAAGTTTGAAACTTGGAGTTACAAGGTTTTTGTTATAGAATGAACTATAATTTTTATGAAAAAGTACCTAAAATTAATTTGAAAATACAAATAAAAATCTGACACTTATCCATAAAGTTTAAATTTAATTGTTTTTTTGGTACTTTGCTGAGGAACAAAATTATTTATAATTATATATATGACTTCGTATAAGTATATTATTCACAAAATATTTATGAAAAAATAGCTTTTGGGGCTCAATGCGAAGGAAGAACAACTTTCTAAATGCTTTCCAGAGAAGCGATTTCTACTTTCTCTACTACACGACAAGACTTTTCGCGAAAACTTGAAAAACGAGCGTCATTTGTGGAGTTCCCGTTGCAATGATAAAAGTAGTAGAAAAGTATATTTCGATACCAATCCTTTTTTTGATACATACTCGATACCGAACAAAAAGGTATCGAGTAATAAATACTTCGTACTAAAAGAAAAGCATCCAGTATTTTGCTTTTATCGATTGAATCGTAAAATTACACAAATTACAAATGTTTTGCCAAGGCATATTAATGTGCTTTGTGTTTTGCAAGATATTGCTTGATTGAAGATGTATTTTATGTTACGAAAGTTTAACGGAGGAACGAGGGCACGTCACCAAAACCTATAAATAAAGCTTTATTAGAAACGTCGCAAGAGAACAAACGAAAATTTCGCGATTATGGACAACAGAAGCGATGACTCCGTTCCATCAGATTATTGGTGTGCAATGGACAATGACGTTCTCCAGAGTATCTTGGATGTACCATTGCCTTCTCAAAACAAATCTGAGCTGCGCAGCGGTAAACAGCATGCAGGCTTCGACAATAATGTTGGCGATACATGGTTATACCCAAGCAACTTGCCACAACGTGCCTACCAGTTAAGTATAGTGAAAGCCTCTCTATTCAACAACACGCTTGTTGTATTGCCCACAGGTCTTGGGAAAACTTTCATAGCAGCGGTTGTGATGTACAATATATACCGATGGTACCCCACTAGTAAGTTAATATTTTTGGCTCCCACACGTCCTTTGGTGGCCCAGCAAATCGATGCTTGTCAACGTATAATGCCGTTTCCCGATGAAGATACCGTGGAGTTGACTGGTAGATTACCACGCAACCGCCGCAAAGAACTGTGGGAGAAAAAACGCGTTTTCTTTGCAACTCCTCAAGTAGTACTGTCAGATATATGTTGTCGGGATGAAGCCAACACGAGTAATGCGGATTTATATTTTCCTTTTGATCAAGTAAAACTAATTGTAGTGGATGAAGCGCATCGCGCCAAGGGACGATATGCATACACCGAAGTAGTCCAAGCTATACATCAGCGTAATAATTATTTGCGAGTTCTAGCTCTTTCTGCAACCCCGGGGCGAACTATGGAGGATATTGCTGAAGTAGTGTGCAATCTGTTCATTTCTCACATTGAAGTCCGGTGCGACACATCTGTCGATGTGCTGCCTTATGTTCATAAACGGCATATGAAAACCATTGTTGTTCAGCTTGGCGAAGAGTTAAAAGCATTGCGAGAAGAAGTTTTGGAGATAATAGACCCATACCTACGACGGCTTATTGATGCCAAAGTGTTAAGTGGGTCATTGGCGAAAATTTCGCGCAATTTTCTACTATTCGAGCAGAAGCGATTTCTTGATCAAAGCCGAAATAGACAGCACCCACAGCAAAGGGCTATTTCAACAAATTTTTCCTTTTGTATCAGTATGTATCACGCCCTAGAGTTGTTAGAAAGGCATGGGATGCGTGTATTTGTGCATCATTTTGACGAAGATGAGGAGGGCCGCAGTAAATTTGTTGTAAATATGGAACCGAAAATACGTTATTTGTTAGATAAATTGCGCAATCAGTTGGGGCCAAATCCTTTCGAATTCTCAACGCACCCTATGACCAATGGAAAAATCGCCCCAATGCCTGATAACTTGGACTTCGGGCATCCTAAATTTGAAGAGGCCCGAACATATTTGCTCGCTCACTTTCAAGTAGGTTCAAGTTCAAATGTGTCCCTATATTCCCTTCGAAAAACCTATGTGTATGAATTTCCATTTTATAGGCTCATCCAGATTCACGTGCCATAGTTTTCTGCGAATATCGGGAATCTGTTATGCTGATATATCGTTTGTTACTACAACACGTTCCATTGTTAAAACCGCGTTATTTTGTAGGTAAGCGGGAGTTTATATCACCATCTGACTGTGAAAACAGCTTAACTTTAGTTATATTACCAATCTGAAGTTATATATTTCACCTCGAATTTGTCAGGCCAAGGCGGCGCCACTGGTTCTCTGCGGCCGCTTACACAAAAGGAGCAGATACAAATAATGCAAGATTTTCGCAGCGGAAAAAATAACATTCTTGTGGCAACATCTATCGGAGAAGAAGGCATTGATGTTGGTGAAGTCGAACTGATTGTATGTTTTGACATTAATACTACGAATCCCCAACGTTTTATTCAACGCATTGGGCGAACTGGACGACAAAAACAAGGAAATGTTTTATTATTAGTAACCGAGGGACGGGAACAGCAAATTCTAAAGGATGTCTTAGAACAGAAAGAGCAGACAAATGCAAAAATTCTTCACTCATCGGTAGTTACGAAGTCGTTGTACAAACACTCACCTCGCCTAGTGCCTACTGATTTGGATCCAAAAGTAATTCACGTTTTTATAAAGAGAAATGATTCTCTTGATAAAAATGATACGTGCAGCAAGAACAAGAAAATAAATAAAAAAAGCAAAGAAAAAGATTCTAAAGCGAGTCAAGATCTTCGCACTTTTTTCAAAAAGAAACCAATTTCAAATTCGAATGCAATATTCCCAGATCCGTCTCAACGTGGTTTAGAGACACAAGATATCGAAAAATGCTTAAACAAAATAGATGACTATTTCAAAGCTTTCGAATCTCCAATAGCTACGAATACCCAGTTATATTCGCTAGACCAAGTGCCACCTAATCTTAAACAGTCTCAACGAAAACCAATATTAGAATCGCAACGTTTTCGCCATCTTCGAAAGCTACTGCAAAAAACTTCTCCTTTAATACGCTCGAAGGAGCTTCTGACCGACCCTGTGGATCAAATAAAATCAACGAAAGTATCTGATGATGGAAAACGGTTCATTTTACGGCAAAAACCATCTATCGTCAGTGATGTTTTGGAAAAAATTAAGTTACTAGAATCATTGCCTTTGGAACCGGATGAAATGTCCGCGGAGGAAAAAGATGTAAGACATTTGTACAGTATAATTGAAAAACTTCTAGGTGGTACCCGACTAGCCGTAGAAATATTCATTGACGATGCTGATATTGAATACATGGTTAGAAACCGCATTTATAAACCCTTCCTTGACGTAAGGCAAAGTGAATATAAAGATGCTTGCGATGCGATATTTGAGGGGTTAGAAGAACAGGGAGAGTTATGTGATAATTTCGATTATATTCAAAAAGAATTAAAAAAAACAGACTTTTACAAAGAGTCATATCCCGAACCGGAAGAAAATTATCATTCGCCAATTCGGTTTTACCCAACGAAGAACGCCGTAGAATCAATGATATATGAGACAGTTGACGAAGATGTTCGAATTAGCAATGTGACAAATAACAGCGAGGCTACAGATTCTATTTTACATTGGGATGATTTCGCGATGAATGCCCCATCGGCTAAAAAATCAACTCCAGTGCAGGGCCCCCTTGTAAAGGCATTTCAACGACAAATTAGAAAATTTGGGAAAAAAAATTCTTTGAATAATACTTTCAATGAATCAAATAAAGTTGCCAAAGATGACTTTGATGTAATATTTGTATCAGAAACAGAAGCCGTAACTAATACCACACCTGCAACATCTGATAAAATACATGAAAAGCAAGACTTTCCCTCTAAAAAAATTTTTGAAAATCTGGAACCGAATTCGATCGGTCGTTCTAATAAATTTGAAACTATCACTGTGGATGCGCCCAACACCGAAAGAAATTTTCCAGCAAAAAGTTCATACCTTAGCGATTTAGATGTGGATATGGAAGAGTTCCTAGAACCTTTCCCTGAAGAAACTCGATCTGAGAGCTCAAGAAAGGATTCAGGTCGGTTAGCGAGCCCTATTTGTTCCACTCTTAAAGAAGATGAAATTACTTCCAATTTATCAATTCCCTCGCAGCAAGCGAAAGAATTATCAAACACAATAAACGTTGTGAATCCTTACTTACCCACCAGATTTATGGCAGCTTCAGTACAGCTGTCTTCTCAAATCGAAATATACAACTACCAACCTCAAAAGCATGACGAAGAAAAACTGCAAAATGGGGGACTGAGTAGCAATTTGCCGGAATATATGGATAAAGGTACGTCTTATGCAAAGAATCAGTACCTCAAAGTATCGGTGGATTTCAAGGATGATAAAAATTCAAGCCCCGCTTCACCACTCAGCTCGAGTCAAAAAGAAAATGAAGATAATTCAAATCTTTTAGACATCCCAACTACACCAAAAGAAAAATCTAATTCAAACGAATTGAATCCGAAAAGTCCCGTGACGCCACATTTGAAGTTTCCAACTCGATTAGAGCATTGTGAAAGGTCTCCAAATTTATATGAACTGTACTTACAAAATGTACGAAAGCGTAAAAAATTGCCGGAGCATGTAAAACAAAGCGTATCTTTCGCAGAAAATCAGCTTAAATTATTGTCCGATATGAATTCGGTTTCAACAGCCAATGTTTGCGACAAAGATAAATCATTCATTAATTCACCTAAAACATCGAAGCTAGTTTTGTCTAGTGATTCGAGCGATTTAGACATGAGGGCCGAAGAAGGAACCGAAACTGAGTGCGAGGAATTTGTGGAAACCCAAATTGTAATTACAAAGGCGTTGATATTTTATTAGTTTAGTTTAAATTGAAACTTTTGTCTACAGCGCACAAACAAGATCAACGATCCTAATTCATTTACTGATTCCAATGTCGAAAATTCAAAGGCAGAAGGCGGTTCTGAAACAAACTGCGAAGAAGTGGCTGAAACTCAAAAGGTATTTATGAATTGTTGCTTCCTCAATTTAAGAGTTAAATGAAATATTTGTTAATTACAGCGTCGGCGTCGACCAAAACTAAAAAGTCGATTGCACGAGTTCATTGATGCTGAGGCTATATTTAGCAGCGATGATGGGAGTGAAGAAGAATTAAATGAAATACCATGCAACCAGTATGTAAAAGATTCTATGATTGTATCCAGTGACGAAGTGGAGACTTTCGACGAAAATGCACCCACTACAACACAGATGCATGCGTACTATCTTCAATCGGTCAGGTACATAGTATCACTTATACTCATATAGGGTACTCACAGTTTACTTCTAAAGTTAAAAGGTGGCAACTTTAACAAGATAACACACTCGAACTGTGAGCAACCCTTATGTTTAAATAAAGTATTAAGTTGATCAACAATACCACGCATTGCTAGACCGTTTGCCTTTCACGCGTTTGTGTTTAGAGAGCATCAACAAACCACATACATATTTCTCTCTATTCTCTCTTCTCTTTTTTATACTCAGCTAGCACAGCGCAAAAAAAAAAAAAAAATCTTTGCCAGCTCCAGGCAGGCGCAACGAGAAACTTATGTACAAGCAGCGCTGCGCCCAAAGCGAAATTCATGTATGTATGTACAAGCAGCGATAGATGCCAGTTTAACACAGAACATAAACATGAGACAAAGTCTAGTAATTTTGCCCAAAAGTGTTATCTCTAATTAGTATGGGAACCAACAACAAACAAAGTTACCACATGGTAAAATGTTTTAAAGTTACCAGGTGGCAAAATTAACACAGTAGATAATATAGAACTGTGAGTACCCTAATAGATTTAACCCGTTAACTTTTGTTACACAACTGACGTGGAAAGAAGAAAATTGAAATAATATATATTTGTCTTGCAATTTCTCATGAAGAACAATTATTCGGTGAGAACTTCTTCATTAAACAAGGCTATTGACATACTCTAATGCATGTTTTTTTTTTAACCGACTTCAAAAAAAGGAAAAGGTTATCAATTCGTGGGAATATATATATATATATATATATATATATACATTTTTTTTTATGTATTGTACCGCATAACTGGACCACGGCAACCGATTTCAATAATTGTTTTTTTATTTTATTTTTATTTTTTTTTTAAGGAAATGTGTTACCGCAGGCATACTAATTTGGTTTAAATCCGATCAACTTGTATATGAGAATTGAAGTCGGTTTTGTTTTTTGCTTAAAAATTACTTATTTAATTATATTTACATAATTTTCGCGAAAGTAACGAGTATTTTTTTTTATGTATTTCACGATTTAGAAGTCCAAAACATTTACGGCGTAACTTCAAGATTCCCTCTTTTCGTGAATTTAATGATCAGGTTTATTCACAACCTGCTCCTGCAGAGCCATCTCAGTACGTTTGCGATTCCTTCGTAGTAAGTGAAGAAGATGATGAAGAACCTAAGGATGCACAAGACCAAACTATATGCCCTCTGGAACGCGCTGAACGCATTTTAAAAGAACGACGGCGTGCACGTGGAAATTTCAAAGTAGTTGCTAAGATTCAGAAGCGAAGGCGTATTCGTCAACTTATGGATAGTTCTGATGAGGACGACTGAACCTTGGAATTACATTTACTTGATGTTTTATGTTACGGTATGAAGCAATAAATATAAAGATAACCACAGTCGAATATATATTTACAAATGTATATATTTGCACTTTGGTATTATATTTATTTACGTTAC